ATATGCTTTTTCTTGCTGATCATACAAACATAATGGAATATTTGTGCTCGGGGTGATATTTTTTTTCTTCAGACAAATTTCGACTTTTCAACTAACCATTTTGACAGAGCTTCTTATATCATTCAAAAAGTACTGTTGTCCTTAGCCTAAAATTGAAAAGATGTTTCACCTGTGATTATTTTTGTAAATTTATGGGGGTTTAGAGATTGCCATTTTGGCTAATTTGGGACAATTAACGCGCGATATCTTTCGCGCTCTTAACGCGTAAGCGGAGATTTAATCCGTCTCAGAAATTGTTCCAAATTGGTTAAAAAAAGCTTATTTGCCGAATTGTTTGTTATTGGGAGCGAAATCTATCACTTTTGCACGAGCAGATTTGTTTTCTTTCATTTTTTTATTACATTTAATTTTTATTTTTTTCATGTTGTTACAGCTCAATAGACCTTAAAGGGTAGTCGGAACATTCAGGGCTAGTCATTCAGGGTAGTCGGAACATTCAGGAACAGTTCTAGTCATCATAGTATCTTAAGCCAAGTGGGTGGAAAGCAGAAGCAAAGTTTATGGTAACGTCTTATTGTTCCGACTTTCGATACGAAAGCAACAGAATGTTTGTGCTCGGTTTGGGTTTTTTCCTGCAGAAAGGTATTGTTGTCTTGAGCTTAAATTTTAAAAGTTATTTCACCTGTGATCATTTTTCGGAAAGTTATGGGGGTTTAAAGATTGCCATTTTGGCCAATTTGGGACAATTAACGCGCGATATATTTGGCGCTATTAACGCGTGAGCGGAGAGTTAATCCGTCTTAAAATTGTTCCAAATTAGTTGAAAGAAGCTTACTTGCCATAATTGATTTGTTACAAGGAGCAAAATCTATCCTTTTAGACTTTGTATGGCGGGTGGGGGGATGATTTTCACAAAAAAAATCAAATTTTAGTTTAAAAAATTGCATTTCATTTTTTCTTACATTTCATTTTTTCATGTTATCACTGCTCCATAAAACCTTAAAAGACAGTCGGAACCTTCAGGGCTTCGCCCTGATACGAGTAGTCTTGTTCTAGTTTGTATTTGTTTCGAATATAAAAGATATCATCAGAAATTAGTTTTCAATTGCTAAATCAACTACAGCCAGAGTTTGTTGATCTCTCAAAAAATTTCATGATAATTTTGGAAAATCAAAATCTCAAACTTCAATAACTAATCTGTAGATTAAAACAATGGTGTGTAAAATTGCGAAAACATGAAAAAATTGATTAGATATGAAGAAATATTTTATCCGATTCACTCAAAATATTTTCATGATTGGTATTTATGAATTGCTAAAAAACAGTTTTTACAGATTTCGAAATCTTTCAAAATGCCTTTTTTTAAAATTAAACGCTATCAAAAAATTTTAGAATTTTAGAAAACTTTTTACTTTTGATTAGTTTTTGAGAACGCGCTTTTGAGTAAACTTCAGTTAAAAAACAGTGCAGAAAAAAATTGAATAGTTCAGTTGTTTTTTGTATTCGGAAAAAAAAAGTTAAAAAGACAGCACCCTAATCTACCAAAAACACAATACGGTCCTAAGCTATCCCCATTTTACATCATTTACAGGATTTCATATCACAAATACGCAGTTGTGGTTTCGAAATTCAAAAAAGCACATTTCGTCATGTAAGCCAAACATTATCATCCAGAGTAAAAACCAAAAAAAGAAATGGCCTAAGTGCCAACAGTTTACAAAGTTTGCCGTTTAGAGGAATTTTTGAAATTGCAGCATTACTATTTGGATGATGACCTAAACATCTACGATGCATGACTGATTATTGTACAATTTGTTAGATATTACTTTTTGATCTCTAAATCAAATACTACCAATTTTTGTCAAATTTTGTAAATCTCTGTAAGAATTGTGCGTATACTTAAAAAACCTAAAATTTCAATTGCCATTAAATTATCTGTAAAACAGTATCAAAGGCATGTTTTCTAAACGACGGAGGAACAAAACTGTTTAAATTTTCATGAGCAAAAATTTTCTATGACATGCAAAAACTGTCATGTGGATAAAAAATGAAGAGAATATTTTTGTTCCGACTTTCGATACAAAAGTAACGGAATATTTGTGCTCGGGGTGGGTTTTTTCTTGTCAAACAAATTCCGCCTTTTCAACTAGCCATTTTTGACGGAATTTTTTTATACCATTCAAAAAAAAATTTTGTCTTGAGCTTAATTTTGAAAAATTTTTTCACCTGTGATCATTTTTCGGTAAGGTATGGGGGTTTAAAGATTGCCATTTTGAACAATTTGGGACAATTAACGCGCGATATATTTGGCGCTATTAACGCGTGAGCGGAGAGTTAATCCGTCTTAAAATCGTTCCAAATTGGTTGAAAGAAGCTTATTTGCCATTTTTGATTTGTTACAAGAAGCAAAATCTATCCTTTTATACTTTATATGGCGTGTGTTGGGATGAATTTCACTAAAAATGTCAAATTTATAAAAGTGTTTCATTTTAACTTATTACATTCAATTTTTTGAATAATATTACTGCTCCATAAAACCTTAAAAGGCAGTCGGAACTTTCAGGGCTTCGCCTTGATACGAGCAGTCTTGTTTCTGTTTCCTTAAAGTAGAATCCTGATTTGTTCCGGAATAAAACAATGAAAAAAAATCTCTCCGAAAAACAATTAATTTTCGAAACCATCACAAAAAATGGCCTGAACATCCTTGATTTTTTGTGAGCCAGCGCAATAATTTTTAAAAGGCTTAGAACTCTTAATGAAGCGTTTGGTTGAGGAATAATTGACTGAAACTGTGAACTCATAGTTATGGGCGTATATAGGGACTTGAAAGTCATTTAAGTTTTCGAATAAAAACATCTACAAAAAAATTTCTCTAAATTTTACATCTCTCGGTTGTCCCTGTAGGATTATATTTTGGGACAAGGAAAAATTATTTAGCAAATTCGATGTTAACAAGTACGTAATTTTTTGAATGAAACGAAATTTAAAAAACGATTTATTTTTTATTGTTTACTGTTGTATCAGAAAGGTAACGGATTTTAATTGATACGATAGCATACTAGACCTCCTAAAAACAAAATTCAGCTCACAAAATGCCAATTATCTTAGAGACAGAATCCAATAAGTCTATGAAAAAGCAGAATTTTAAGAATTCCATGATTATGTCCTATCCTGTGGCCCTACACAGTGACTCGGTGAGAAGCCTCTGATAGTAGGGGTCCCCCTCCTCCAGTGCAAGGCCCGTTCGTGGTGCCAGAGTAATCACTGAATGCTAGTGACATCACTTGTTTTTCTCAATTGTTTCGTTTGATTTGTTTTCGGCGCAGCCCAAAAGCCCTTTTTCCTCTGATTGGTAATCAGAGTGGACCCGGGTTGACCAAAAATGCTAGTCATACAATTTTTAAAAATGAAAAAATGCTAATAATACACTTTTCATGCAATTCCATAAGTACAGAAAATTGCATGAAAGGTCTATCATTAGTGATTTTTCTTATAAGGAAATTGTATGACTTTTCCCATAAACTGAAAAAATGATTTTTCTTTTAAAATTCAATTTCTCGAAAATTTATGTGATCTTGACCGACCGCAAGTGACAAAACCCATGGTTTACTCAAAACTAGAGTCACCCAAGATTTGATCGTTTTGCATTCAAAATGCATTGGAAAAGACCTAATTTATATCAAAGTTTTCTTTCACAAATTTTATACTAAAAGCATTCAACTTTTAAATTTTAGCAAACGTTTTTAAAGATGACTATTTTTAAAATTATAGTTTTTAAATTATCAGATAACGATGAAGGCATACTTAAACTTGCGATACAAAAGAAATAGGAGTGTTTAGCGTTTTTGAAAAAAGTTATGCTGAGAAAGTTTTAGTGTATTCAGGACTACGTTATGTACACAAAAACGTTATGCACACATGTTTGTTTGAGTACAAAACTCGATTTGCGGCTGAAAAGAAAAACAAAAAATTTTTTTTTGGGGCATCTTCAAAATTACTAGGAAAAGTTTTTGTTGTCGCCATCAAACAAATGCTAGTCATACAATTTCCATATATGGAAATTATATGATTAGCATTTTTTGACAAACAGTTTTTCTTTTATCTTTAGTACGAAACATCGACTATTATGCCAAAACATGAAAAAATTCGTTGAAAATTCGATGACACCATTTTAGAAAAATGTTTGAAATTTGTATGACTAGTATTTTTTCATAGACTTGGTTTATGGAATTGTATGACTAGCATTTTTGGTCTATGGACGTCAACCCAGGGAACTAGTAATAAAATGAGCCGAGTGGCTAGCAAAGATCCAAAACGCATCAGCTTAATTGGTTTTTTCCATAAACATCTAGTATGAGGTCTGTTGAATTTTGTCCAAAGTTGAACAGGTTTTTGATATCATGTGGGCAGCGTTTTGCACAAAGGACATACGTTTATCTTTTGTGGGTAAGAGTTTATCTTTTAAGAACAGAGGTTTCAATCAAAAACTGAAGAAAAAAAAACAATTCAATGCTAGTAAATTTAAAAAATTACAGGAGTAAATTAAAAACAATTGAAACAACAATAAAAGTTGTTTGCAGCACAAGGTAAAACCGTGATGCGGAAAGGCAGCCTGCTAACCATAATGAGACAAACGATAGGCCGACGTTTATTTTATTGAACCGGAATGTTTTCAGTTTCCTGGCGGGATTCGAACATAAAAACTTTTTCGACCTGAGCGCATCTTTATTTCTAGGACAGGTGTGCCGGAGGAGACAAGAGCTTTAGATTTTTTAAAGAGTACTGATATGAAATTTAAAATTTATTATAATGAAAATAGTAGTCCAGTATTTTGATTTATCGTTTAAGCACAGTGACTCAACTGCTTTTTTATGTATACTTTTAACTCATTATGCATTATAACTTTGGGATTGAACTCTTGAGAGGAAAAAACGCATCCGATCCGCCTCTTTCCTCATTTTACCCTTGCTTTGAAATAGCTATTTTGTTTGAATGATTAGATGCCTTTGGTGGATGTTGCAGATGAGAGTTACGATTACGTAATAGTTGGAGCTGGCGCATCTGGCTGTGTGGTTGCGAACAGATTAAGCAGAACGTGCAAGACTTTGTTAATAGGTACGTATCTTTTCAAGGTGCATAAAAGTTCCCAATTGTTTTGACCAAATTCCTTGTTGAAAAACTGCTCTTTTAAAATTACCCGCACTCGCAGAGTTAATTAAAATAACTTTATAATTAAAACAATTAAATTTCCATTGAATCAAAAGAGCGCTGTAAATGTTTATTTGCAAGCCAGGGCATATCTAGGGTATTCTCTACGGGGCGTATGGTGTAATTTTCAAAAAAAAATCAATTTTTTTCGAACTTTTTAGTAACTATTTGTGCTTTAGAAAAATTTTAAGGTCGGTCGGCCGATATTGGAGTCTTTAAATGGCCTCAAAAGTGCACCCTTTGGGTGGTCAGAGGGTCGAATACTTGAAAGAAGTAGCCACCCAAAACTGCTTCTGCTAGCTTGGTACTTTGAAGCTTTTGTTATATACTGTAGGTGAAAGAGAATCTTTCTCTAATTTTAGAGGCCGGTGGAATAGACTCCTCATGGGAGATTCTGATGCCGCAGAATGCGGGTAAGACCTGGGGTGACGAGAGGTACAGCTGGGCTGTGAACTCCACTCCCCAGGAGGGGTTGAAGGGGAAAAGCACTCCCTGTTTGCTGGGGAAGGTGTTAGGAGGCTCTGCTAGTGTGAACACCCTGTGTTGGATGAGAGGACACTCGTCAGATTATGACTCATGGGAAGAGAAAGGTGAGCTCACAAGTGTATGACGCATTCGCTTTTGCGGCCCAAATAAATACAAACAAAGGAAATCATAAAATAAGTTTAAAGAATCATGCGCATGATCAATTTGTTTTCGCAAGTTTTGAGAAAGCCGTTTGATAAAACGTGTAAAATATTTGTCCTTGCAATATTTACACAAATTGAGTGCCTATTTCGAAATGTTTCTCCTTAAACAAAAAAATTAAATGTTTTGGAATGAATTTTGTCGTCAGGCGTCCAGGGATGGAGTTGGAAGGATGTGGCTCCCTACTTCAAGCGGGTGGAGGGGTGCACTTTCAAGTGCGACAGAGACACGAGGGGGACTGCAGGTCCCATGAAGTTAACAAAGGCACCCAGGACCCACTTCGTGGACACAGTACTCAAAGCAGCTGAACAACTGGGATGGCCAGTGACCGAGTGAGAAGCTGTTATGTATTTGAAGTTGCCGACAATTAATTTCTCCTAAACTAAAAAACTAAATTCTTAAAGTTTGTTAAGTGAAGTGTTAAAATTTTCAATCGAACTTTTATCCGTCCAGATATGTAAGTATTCATATACTTTTACAATAAAACCATCCTAGGTTATGGACGCTAACATTAATCTGGCGCGTTGAAGGTCATTTTTATGTTGTGACCTTCAACGCACCAGTGAAGCTATTAGGACTTCACTCAAGGAGCGACGAGTTTGTCTATGGTTTGTTACCGCATTACGGGGCCAAACTGTGCATTGGATAGGCGCACAACTTTGTGTCTGTATGTTCCTGGATTCCAAAGTCTTTAAACATCTGTCATGGTATCTAAATTTAGTTCAAGTTCCATTTCTAGTTGTGCTACTTAATTCATTTATCTGTCTGGCGCTAACTGGTATTTAACTTTCGGAGTTTGTCTGTCACCTTCGGATGACAGCTATTTTATTGTCTCCGACTAACTTTATGAACTACGGTTACGTATTAAAAAGGATTAAATTAACACCTCGAAACCGTCTTTTCACATGGCGCAGCCAACAGGCCAAAGTGGGGGGAAAAACCCGCTGGGGATTACATCGTTTTGGCCTTCGACGTTTGCAGAGCCACCAATGCTATGGGAGTTTTGGTTCAATCGTTTTCAATGGGGGATGGTGGCCAAACATAGTATAAACCCAAAGAATTTCTATTATGCCAGTACTTTAACCGCAGCGCAGGTTACAGATTTACCAGAGGAGGTAGACGGGAAAAATCGCCTGGCGTCGGAGCAAACGCTTATCTCGAACTTGTATTTGTGTCTGGGGGAGAAAGGACAGGATGAGCTACATAAGAGGAAACCACACCTGGATTTATCTACAACAAGGTACTCCAGAGTTTTGGATACTATTGAAACAGAATTCAGAAAGGAACGGAACGAAACTTACGAGACATTCCAACTATTGGCACGGAAGCAACAAATAGGAGAATCGCTGGAACAGTTCCACTCAGTGTTAAGTGGGCTGGCCGCCCGATGTAGTTTTGGAGCATTGGAGACCAGGATTTGGCGGGATGTGTTCATTGTGAACATGAACACAATAGGGAGGCCCAAAATTAGTTATGTCGCTCGACGAAGACACCGGAGGAGGTGTACCATATTGCACTTTCATATGAACGTGGATACAAATATGCTAAGTCATACGGACCAGTAACCGGAGGAGGAACTAGTGGCACTGCCGGCGGAGCTGGAGCGTTCCAAATCAAGACGGAACCGGTGGGAGCCATCTGTGGAGGATACAGAAACAATAGACATAGGGGCCGGGGATCGTTTAGAGGGCGAGCAGAAATGAGAGGGGGTGATTCTAGAAGACGCTATAATTGTGATCAACCCAATTTTACCCCGGAACACCTCACAACTTGCCCAGCCAAAAATGCGATGTGTAACTTCTGGCGGAAAACGGGACATTACGAGAGGACTTGTAGGGGAAAGCAAAACAATCGGGGAAGACCGGCAGTGGGACTAATCCAAAATCAGGAAGATATAGAAACTAGCGAAGTAGGCGACGCGGAGGATACTTACTCGCAGCATGAGAATTCCGTTGGCTGGGTTAATACGCCGGTAAAGAAGCAACGCTCGTGGGATTCGGATAGCTCAGGAGATTATGTTGTCATGGCTATCAAATCTCGGAGAGAAACAGAAATAAAAGTGGCCGGCGCACGACTACCAATTAAGGTAAATGGAAAGCAAACAAACGTTTGGATAGACAGTGGATCACCGATTTCAATATTCACCATTGGGGAATTGAAACGGACGTTGGGCACCGCAGGCGTCAAGATGAAGGCACCGACACCGACGGACGATGAGTTCAGGGACTACGGAAACAACCCCTTACGACTACTAGGAACGATGGACGTATTGTTGGAAACGAACGGATGGGTGACCAACGCGAATATCAGAGTGATTGGAGGAAGCAGACCATCAATTATTAGGAGAGACCTAATGCCAAATCTTGGATTACAGATAGTGCAGAAGGCACTGGAGGAGAATGTGATGTCGGTACAGAGCGATCAATCTGCGGTCGAGGCGACAGAGGTGGCGGATTCACTAGACCACTGGCAGACCTATTTCAGTAAGCAATTTGAAAACCTTTTTAACAGAGTCGGGAAAATTAAGAATTATAGGGTACACGCGGATTTTTTCGAAACCTTAACGCCAATTCAACAAAAAAAGCGTAGAGTGCCAATCACATTGCAGGATAAGGTCGATAAGGAAATTGATAAACTCTTACGACAAGGACACATTGAAAAGCTGAATGAATGTTCGGATAAGTATTTTGTTTCTCCGATTGTAATAACAGTGAAAAAGGATGGATCAGTAAAATTAGCGTTAGAATCCCGGAAGCTGAACAAGCAAATTCACAAGAATAAATACCAAATGCCGAATATTGAAGAGCTTATGGATACGGTAGGACAAACGATAAGCGAACGGAAACCAGGAGATGTATATTTTTCTACTATGGGTCTTACGTACGCGTACGGTCAATTACCACTTAGCTGGTGGGAGGAAAATCAACGTGCACGTATCGCTTTCAAACGGGGTTCTACGGCCTTACAACCATGCCAGCGGAATTTCAAAGAGTGATGGATACGATCCTTTCGGAATTTCCGCAGGCGCATGCTTTTATTGATGACATTTTGGTGGTCACCAAAGGCACGGAGATTGAGCATATCTCGACAGTTGAGAGAATTTTGCGGAAGTTGAATCGCGAGAAAATGTCGCTTAAGCTCACTAAATGCCAATTTGCTCGTAGAGAATGTGAATGGTTGGGGCACAAAATAACTCGTACCGGAATAACACCGCTCGTCCGAAAAACGGAACCGATCGAGTCGCTTAAAGCATCAAAAATGGTGTCACAACTTAAATCCTTTATGGGTTCCATTCACAGCTTGCACAAATATCTTCCGGCGCTGGCGAAATCATCAGCGTAATTGCGCCCACTATTAAGCCGGAAAAACGATTATATTTGGAGCGATGAATGTCAAATATCATTCGAAAACCTGAAAAAGCAGGTGGCAAACATAGTAGAACTTCGGCATTTTGATATACACCGAGATACAAGAATTGTGTGCGACGCTATTCATAACGGGCTCGGAGCGGTCCTTGAGCAACTAAATTCCGACGGCTGGCGGCCGATATCGTTCGCATCCCGTTATTTAAACGAGGCAGAGAAAAATTATTCAACGAATGAATTAGAAATGCTGGCAGTTGTGTGGGGTGCGGAATATTTCCGCAACTATGTGCTTGGAAGAAAATTTTTAATAGTTACGAATCATAAGGCACTAGTATCATTGCTAAATGGGAACAACAAAAAGAACAAAACAATGTTCAGCAGATTAACAAGGTGGTTAGATCGTCTTATACCGTTCGATTTTCAAGTAGAGCATAAACCCGGAGCAAAGATTGGACTCGCTGATTATCTATCAAGGCATCCCACTTTGGAGCCTCAACCGGTTAGCACCTACGATTGTATGTTTACGGTGGCAAAAATTGAAAGAATTAGATCCGCCCTCGGATTTGAAAAGGAAACTTTCTCCAAAAATAGACTCGAGTATCCACCGGTTACTAATAATAGACGCGTTTGTAATATATCGAATAGAAAACGACCGGTAGAGGGCGAACGATCATGCGATGGAAATTGGACCAATCACAGAGCGACGAATTGCATTTCCGGAAGGTCAATTAAGTCTGGTAATAATTTAGTTGGGACTATTATTGAACTAACTTTAGTTACTTAAACTCTTCAAAAACACTCAACATTTCTCCAAATTCTTCAACGAACACTTTTAAAACACACTTTAATTATGGAAAGTAAAATCAGAAAATTGTTGGAACGACACCCCAGCATCAGCAGTAGCGATGAAGTAGAGGAGATTGATGTGGATATGCAGGCGGTTACAACAGAAGTCCGGAGCACTAAAACAAATACTATTATTTCCATTCCGTCGGTTTACCCTGGTGAAAGTTATCCACCGGTTAATCCGGAAAATAGGGTTATGTCCATCATTCCGAGAAATTGCAAAATCGTCAGTAAACAAACTGCTCTTCCCGAATTGTTTATTCTTCGATTCATAGAATCACAATATAATTCAGATCCACAATTACAAGCCATTATCGAATTAATTAAATGTAAAGACCCTCATTTACACTCAAAAATTGCAGCGATGAGTAAGTACTTTGCGCAGTATGCTCAGGTCTTTCACGTAAGAGACGGATGCCTGTGGATGGACGAGAGACTAGTGATCCCTAACACCTTGCAAGCGGCGGTGGCTAATAGGCTATATTATTATCACCACGGGAAATCAAGTATGTACGACGCGGCTAAAGACATTTGGTACCCGTACATGTTCCAAAATTTAGCAACTACCGCCGGGAATTGACAAGAATGCACATTAGCGGGTAAGAACTTGAAAAAACATGTGTTCGAAGAATGATATAGGGAAAATACCTGAGCCAAAAGAACCGAATGAAACGGTACAACTGGATTTTTGGGGGCCCATTAACTACTTGAAGGAGTCTAAAAAGTATGTTTTGGTGGCGGTGGATCGGTTCTCACGTTGGCCATCAGCTATGGTCGGTAATACTAACCGATCGGATAAAATTATTAAATTTTTAAAAGCATACATAATTGCCCATGGAGTTCCGCGCCAAATTCCAGTTGATCAAGAAACAAACTTTATGTCTAAGGAGGTTAGGGCATTTTGTCATGAACAAGGAATTGAAATCCTCATCTCGCCAGTGAATGATCATAGGGCAACAGGATGTGTCGAACGCACGATTGGCAGCATCAAGAATTCAGTACTTAAGTATGCGCGGGAGGATAAACCGGAACCCTTGGATCGAATGGTCGAAAGAGCCCTCGGAGCTTTAAGATTTGTTAAAAACGCCACCCTCAACATAACACCGTTCGAAGCGCACCAC